GTTCTCATATATGCAAAGTCACTCCACTGAAATCAAGGGGAGTGCTTGCGGAATCAAGTATTAGTATCGGAGCGTGACCTTAAGTGACTTTTTGCACAGGAGGTTTCTGACACAGTTGGAAGTAGAATGAATTTATGGTGCCCCTACTTTAAACAGAAGACTCTCTCTCTCCAAATGTCTAAGTGGAAGAATGTATGGTGTTTGTTTTCCATATGGAAGTAAAGGCAATTTAATGTAACTATGTTCATCATTAAATAAAAAATTGGGCAGTATGCACATAAACCTGTGTCACGGGCACTTACATCTGAAGGCCTGTTCCTAGTTTGATGTATGTGACCGTGCAAACACTTTCATTTTATTAAACTCTCTACCTGTAGCGCTAGCATTAGTGTTTTTTCTGAAATATCTCCCCCAGGGGTGGTCTGCAGCACATGTCTGTGGTGATCAGCCTTTGCTGTTACAGGCCAGGCACTCTGCTGCTTTAGGACAGAATAGAATTAGCTTTTTCGATAGCAGCTTTCTGAGAAGGCAAGGCAGATTTTACTGATGAAGATAAAGAGTACGCTATAAACATCCAGATTATCTTGGAATATCACAAGCAGTGGGTTTGTGCAGTGTGTAGTAGGCAAACAGTTGCATAATTACTGCTTACGTTTGTGTTAAGAAAATTTATTCATGATTAATGATGCTTATCTCTGTGCTAGACACCTGCCAAACGATTTATGGCCACGCATGTGATCTGCAATTGCTTTTTTTTGTTGCTATTTAAAGTGTTTGGGATTATTCTAATTGCATCATGCATTTTAAATGGAGGGTGCTACCCAGGTGTCCTTGTCAGCATTCCATTCTCACACGAAAAAAGTAGGTCAGATTTACCTGTGACAGGGAAGGTCACAACTCCCGGTGAACTCAGGGGGAATTTAATTGATGTATGACAAGGTTGAAATCATGTCTCAGGTTTAGATCAGTTTAAGTTGATCTTTTTTCTAAGTTCTGTAATAAATACTGTATAATTCCATGTTGGAGCAGAGCCAGACTGAACTTAAACCTAAACCACAGAAATGGTGCAGAACGACTAAGAAACCTCTTGTCCCGTGGAAACTTGCAGAAAGAGCAACTGGTCCCTTCTCTACCAGTGCAGTACGTGTAGAGTGGGGAGTAAAAATTGGACCATCCATCTTTTGTCTTTCAGTGTTGGATGCTTTTGAGGACTCTGATGTGCCTTGGACTAGCACGGTGCCTGTCACTTGTGCACTCCGAGGCAGATGTTTCCATCTGTAGCTTGTGGTTATCCGAGCAGTGTCTGGAAAATGGGACAAGTTTCCCAGAGGCTTTTTTCTTTCCCTGGCTAAGCAAAGATGAGACCTGGATTTGGCTGCTGGATATCTCATTGATGTTGAAAATGAAATTAAATTTTGAACACTTCAGAAATAAGATATTTATTTGTCAGCTGTATGTGTATTTATTTATTTATACCATTTTGACACTATACTTGAATGCCTTGTTTTCAGTAGAAATGTAGGTTTCTAGATGGAAGTCTGTTATTTAAAACTAGTTTTATTCAATCCTTTCATTAAGAGAATTAGCAGTGGATTAGATAATGTAAATGCATTGTTAAGATCATTAGAAAACTTGCAAGTGGCCTTTTCAAGAGTGCCTATGTATTCCCAGCCATTACAGCTAATATATGATATCCTTGTTTTTCTGAACAAGATTCCATACAAACCGAACAAAATTAAAAGGATGCTTGTGACTAATCCTTCAAATATACGAAAACAACACCTCGTTATTTAATTTCATGAGAATCTATTAGTGCAGACTATTCATTGGCTAGGCCTGTATTATAAAGAATATTGAATAAATGCAGATAATCAGTTTTGGAAAAGCAAGATATTTTTCGGAGTAAAACACATATCTTGAACATGTTTAAGCAATCGCATGAATTTAATCATGCCTCGTCTTGGTGAAGTCAATTTTTAAAATGTAAATTTCATTTTTTTTCCCTCCATTTTTCTCTGTATTTGCCAATTTACAGCTAGCCACACTGACACATTTGGGAGCTGAGATATACTGCAACTAAATTTGATGTGAAGTGTTGGTGGCCTTCATAATGTAATTTATTCATGTTTCTGTAGATAGCATATGTTGCCTGTGCAATAATTTTTTATCGTATCAGGACAGAACAGCTACTGTTCCAAATTGTGTTATACAAACCTAGATATACAGACAAATTTTTATTGTGCTTTGCTGTGGTGTAAATCAGTGGACTCTATTGAGCTCTGCTGGGGTGGGTGAGATTAGAATCAGTCTCATGGTGTCTAATTTATTTCTATTTTTTCTGACTTAATGTAATCTCTGTTCTTGCTCCATGGGGAGCAGCAGCCAGTTATCTTTGTAGTCTGCCCAAAGAATGAACATATGTGAAACCCCTTGTTTTGGGCAGGAGGCTGCTACTCCCAGGGATTTACTGCTGTTTAGTGACCCTTTGAATGCTGAGATGAAGGCAGTGTGTTGAGAAAGCAGCTGATGAGTGCTACTGGTGCTTCATTAAAAAATCTCGGTGTCTTTATCAGCTGTTATCTGAGGTTTCCTTGGATTTGGCCATTTCATGCCCCCACCTGTTTTAAGTCATGTTGTTTTTATGGCATTCTTCTGGACCTGGAGAGCTGTCCTGCAATTCAGCTCGGCGCTGTCTGTGCAGGGCTGGGCATTCTGGCTTCCCTCCAGTACTTAAATCTAAGCATCTGAATAATTTCCTTCCTTGTTTTGCATTTTTGGGTGTGAACAGTGTTGGAGCCAGTGTCACTAATTCTTTCTCTTTCCCTTGACAGAAAGTCAGTGACTCTGTTTTCTGACCGTCACAGATGGTAACTGCAATGCTGAAGACACTGGGCGAGTTGCTCCTCCTCAGCTCTTCTGTGTGAGGTGAGCAGCCATCTAGATGGGCAAAAAAACCTTCACTGAAGGATGTTTGAGGGCCCTTCTTCCCCCCACCCCGAGGGCTTCCCTGCTGCATCGTATTTCTGAAGGATGCTCAAGATTTCTTCACTTGTGCTGCTTATGAGGCCACTTGTGGTCTGCGTTACATTGTCGATGTGTTGGGACTCAGCAGGTTGCATTCTGAATTAAATGTGAATTTTGAACTAAATTAACCCAGAAGACCTGAGCAAAGCAATAAATCTGGTCCCTTGCCCACATTACTGTATTTGGTCAGCTTGATGGTTTTTCAGGTCTTACCTGAAATGCTGTTCATCTGAAACACAAGAATGAACTAAACCAGATAACAGATATAACATTGTATCTTCCACCGTAGTTAGTCAATATCTGATTAAATATAATTGCATGAATTTATCATGATAGAAACAGTTTCAAAGTAATTTAAATACAGCTTGAAATTAAAAGTTTTACTGTATATTCAATATGGACTATTTTCAGGTTTATCTCCAGTTTCTTATCAAGAATGATGCTGTGTATTATGTATTCGGACAATGTTGCTTTTCATAAGGTTAGGAATGTAATGGAATTTTCTGGACTAAACTTCTAATAACTGATAATTTTAATGAAAATCACCAAGATTATGCCAATGAAGACAAATCTGGAAGACAGGTGTTATCACTGTCCTTACGCTAATACGGATGTGACATTTTTTTACCTATAAAAGTAGGATTAGTCACTAATAAGTAGAACTACGTTGAGAATTTGAACATGGTATAAATACAAAAGTTACTACATAAGAAAAAATTAATATGTAAATTTACATCAGAAACTGTCTCGTTTGATGTGGCACATACCATGAACATTTTTTGAGATTTCAAGTCTGTTCCCACTTGAATGTGGATGAATCCAAACTTGAAACTCATGTAAAGTCTGCCTAAGCAAGTGGCTGGTTGGTAATCTTCTGGGATGGGAGAAACAGAGATTTGAATTACTGTGCTGAATCAGAATTTTTAAGATTTTATTATGTTGTATGCCTTTCTTAATCTCTCTTGTTTTGGAAGCTTTTCCATGGTATGTAAGCAATGTGGATGTTTGCTGGAGCAGGCATTTAGGAGATGGGCTCCTGCTTCGTATGGGAGGCCCAGAGAGACATTCTTCTTTGCTTCTGGTGCTGCACAGTGATTATTTTAATGAGTTGTATGGTCTAATACTACTCCAGCAACAGGACTTGATACATTCCTATCTCGATCACAACGCGGCTCTGGTATTCGTCTGAAGTGTTGGAGAGCTTAATTGAAATATCTTAGTCAGAGAGACCTCTCTGGAGTAACCAGTTGCTGGTTGAGCTCAAAGATCAGGGACTTAAACGTGAATCCCAGATTCCAGAGAAATGCCTGAGTAATGTCTAGTTTGCCCTTTTAGGCTCGTTCATCGTGTACTGATAAGCAACCCCTGCTTCCCTGCTTTTCCTCCTGCATTTCTCATGTTGTTTTTGCGTATCCCACGTTCACACATGGTATGGAGCTAAAACAATTCCAGGTTTGGTATTCCAGTTGTCAGGGATCTTAAAATGTTGGACGTAGGGTCTGCATTCAGAGCTGAATTTTGCACCTGGAATCCATTCTCAGCTTTGGTTTAGTCTGCCTATAGCATGATAATATTCATGCTGAAGAGAAATTAAGTAGAGAAAAGAAGGGACACATCACAGACTGTTATCAGATTCCTTGCCATTTATTTGCACTGGTAAATTTCTTCTTAAGAACCTGCTAAAAGCATTTACGATGGCTGGCTTTGTAGGATGGGACTGCAGGTCCTTTGGGAGCTGGCTCTCTCCTCTCTCTTCCCCCTGCCCTTTTTCCCCCCTCTCTTTCTCTTCAAGTGAAGCCTCTATAACAGACTTGTCCTCAATGAATCCGGCACACAGGGACTATGAAATGCACAGTGACCGCCAGGTTACCCTTAGGCTGAGCCTGTTGCCTTGGTGTTTTAAGTCTTTTAGCAAGCTTTTTCTTTTTCTTTTAATTCTAGGACCAAAGAAGACAAGATACTGAATTATCTGAATTATGCTTCTACAACAGAACTGGGTTTCTCCTCACTGGGCATGGCAGAGCCTGGGGAAGTCCTTCCTTTTGTTTGTTTTCTTAATGTTACAAACAGCTGATCTGGAAGCCAGGAGAGGTCATCAGTTTGTCTGGAAAACAGGTAGGAAAAAGATATATTGGTTTATCTACTAGATAATCCCTGTATTTGAGGATGGAGTGATTGCCCTTGCTCCATTCTGCTTTAGCTCAATAATAAATTAAAAAAGCCTGATAGTGTCTTCTGTTCTGATTTTTTTTTTTTTTTGGTAACTGAAGAATAGAGGGGTTTAATCTCTATTTTAAATTAGTAATCTTCATGTCTGTTGCAGTTATGCACCAGAGTGACTCTAGAGTATAATTCTGGACTCCTTAATGCTTTTAATCCAAGAGTAAAATTTTTACTGTATCCTGATATCATCATCCTAATGTTGCTTCCTTTGAAATATTTAATAATTTTCTTTGCATGTTTGAATGAAAGGGGCACACCAGCATCTTTCTGGATTAACTGAGCCAGAAGTCCATCCTCTTGGTTGATCTATTTATAATTTTATTGGTACATTTAATGAATTATTTCTGTCCATCAGTCAGATTGGACACATGCAGTGTTTGAATGTTCAAAATCGGGCACGCACAATGTTTGGAAACTTTTGTGAAGACACATTGATAGCACTGTGATTCCTAGTGACAGGGAGGAGGTACATAGGAGGTGGCGTGGTACAGATAAAACTAAGCATGACACATTGGATGCTTATTTTGTAGCACAACACAACAACAAAGAATGTTCAATGAAATGGAAATATTGGCAAATTTGGGAAATGTTTACTCAAAGTACTTCATCAAAGATATGCAACTGAACCAGAGGTTTCATTGCCCAGGATCCCTTTGAGGTTTGGCTGTTTATGACTGAGCAACAGGGCGATTAAATTTGATGGAAAAATAATTTCCCTCCTTTTTTTGGAGAGGTTCTTTGCTGTTTTGGTTATTTGTTTTTTAATTGTAGTTCTGTAGAAGGTAAGAGGCTGAATTAGCTGAATAATGAAACAATTACTCTGGGAGGTCTCCTGTTGTTCTAGTAGGATCAATGCAAGCTTCTCACCCTGGCCCCTGGGATGGGAGGCTGAGTGCTGGTGAAGTGCTGGTTAAATACAATCTAATATTATATTTCTAAAGAACTTTTTTTTACAGTGTCTTGCATGTAAAATGAAGAGGAAATAAACAACAGCATAAACTGTCTTTCTCTAATTCACTGTTATTTATGTGATTTTTGAACAAGCTTTGAAAGGTAGAGTTGTTTTCTTGAGACAAATTAGACCCTTCAATGCTGTCTGTCTTCTCTTCAGTTCTGAAGTGTATTCTACCATCGGTCCTTAGAGGTGTGCATTGGAAGTCATAAAATTGTAATTTGACTTGATGATTCCAGCTGACAATAAAGAGATATTAATGCTTCGAAGGCACCTGAGGCAGATGTATTTAGAACTAAGAAAAGGTGGTGCACAGGTTTGCGTGAATGGGGGTACCATACTCTGAAAGCCCTGTGATGAGCACGTTGTAATGGTCTGTCTTCCAGGTGCAGAAGAAAATTGTTAGTTCTTGTGACTCCCACAGTGAATTAGAACTATCTGAGCTCTCAAGAGGAATTTTAAAAACCTTAAATCCTAACAGTATTTTGATGCACCTTCTCTGCTTATGTAGTGATGAGAGGTAGAAAACAACTTTGAGTGAAATGTTTTCCAAATGAAAATAACTTGTGAGCTTGAGCCAGATTCATTGTCCTGTTTGGCAAAAGGAAAGATTTTTTTTTTTTCCTCTCCAGTTAAATATTTTTATATTTAAAAAAAAAAATATTTCATTTTTCATTGGAGTATTTTGTGGAAAATTAGGTAAAAGTTATATCTAAACCCAAAATGTTTAGTTCTGGGTTGAAATGAATAGTATGTTCACTCAAAACACTTTGTTTTGCTAAGAAACAAAGTATTATTTGTGAAGCCTCTTTCTCTGCAGTAGCAGTGAAGCAGCAGCATTTCTAAGTCCTGAATCTCGATCTTTTACAATCATCCTAAGAAATAACACAACTGGCTAAAATTTCTCACAACAGGCTGAATGGATGCTTATTTGGGAAGAATCTTGGTTAAAAGGAGCTAGGTATATTTTGCAGTGTCAGAGCATATGTAATAAACTAATGGCTTGCTTTTGGTAGTTCTGCTGCATGTGTTGCAGATTTAATTTCCGAGGCCTTTGGAAGCATGTATATCAACGTAAAATTGCAGTGAACTTGAAATTAGTTACAAAAGAGTGTAAATGGCAGTCTGCTGTTGGGGTGGCATATGTGGCTTGCTTTTCTATGCATTTTTTTACTTTGCGTGAAATGGTTTTTCAGGTACGGTTAATCACAAAGGTGTATCTTTCTTTCAAAAGATGACAGGGAAATGTTTTGGGAAGAGAGGGTTGGTAACTTGAATGGAGCAGGTGGGTCTGGAGAGGTAGAAGGGTTAAGATAACCTGTTGGGGCAGGATATTAATCATAAGATAACTTTGGGATGTAGATCATGGAAGTCCTGACCTGATAAGATCTGTGGCTTGTATAATTAAAAAAAAACCACCCAAAACCATAGTTTGAGGACTTCTGTGCCCAATACACGAAAATAAAAGTTAAATAAAAGCACAGCACAGTGAACCTAAAATGAAGTAGTGTTTAATGTCAGAACTGAGCAGATCCATTCTGATAGAAAGAAAACCTGCACCTGTTGTCATTTTTTTAATGAAACAATCTAATGAGAAATGAGCAATCCCTAATGGGAAAGGAGATGATCTGTTTTGTTTTTAAATCTTCAATTGTCTGTTGCAAGCATGGCAAGTTACTTACCTGCTCTAGAGAAATTCAACTTCTTATTGAAATGTCATGCCTTATAATTAAATAAGATTATGCTACTGAAAGCTCTGACTTTTAAGAGAATGAATTTATGTGTACTAAAGTAAGTTTTCCTAGCACATAGAAGTCCAGAGATGCATACTTAATTTGGATGAGGGAACTAAGAAAAAAAAAAAAGGCATTATATCAGCACTGAAGATTATAAAGCAGGCTTTTTTTCAGCTGAATCCTTGGCTTTATCTAATGAAGACTCATACATTTTCATGCTGGGCTTGGTGGTCTTGGTCTAGGTGAAAGCAGTTGTATTGAAATCACTGCATCTGCAAAAAACCCAGGCTCTGTATTTCTAAAATGTAAGAACTTGGCAGTGTGAGGTAGATTATACATACTCTTCCCTCAGCTATTCAAAGGGCTATCACGTGCATTTTGCTTGTTTGTGGCCTGTCTTAAAACCATTTATTTTTAGCTTTTGGTTTCTAGAGATGATATATTAATGTCTAAATATCTGTACACTGTATCTTTTGGTTTCAAGACATTTCTTGTCAGATACTTATTTTGTGACCACCAGCCTAAACATGAGAGCAATAATTACATCAATTAAATTACTCAGCAGCCTCAAGTAGCTGAATAATTTTCTGACACTTGCTAACTAACAAAGCAGTTTTAGTGATAAAATCTTGAGAAAACTTAATTGGATCTAAATCCTTGTAAATTAATATTGTTTAATGCAATAGCCAATTAGCAATTTGCATATTTCACCATGTTGACTTTCTTCAGCTCTGAATGGTCCTAAAAGTGCCTGGAATTTCTGTAATGCAAATATGTCTATGTTTTAGTGATGGCCATTCAAGCTTTTAAAACTGTATATAGAATACTGATACATGCATGAATCCACAGCATGATTCTTGTTGGTTTATTTTTTGGTGAAACTCTAAAATTTAGTTCTACAGTCTAAATTAAATCTAAAATATGTGCAACACAGGAAATATTTTGGGTGTTTTGCAGGAGGGAGGCTGGTAATTAGGATTAAAAAATGCTGAAGATCCGCCCTTCCCAGAGACACTTGCAGTTGCTGCATGGGCAGGTTGCAGTCTCACCATCACCGCGGGTGTCTTCAGCTCCTCCATGAACTACGCTTCAGTAACCATGCATGTGCTATTTCCCCCAAAATACTCACAGAATGAAAGGGTTAAGGGACATACCCCATAAAGGTGGTTCTCGGAGCTAAACAGTGATGTGGCTTTTTTTTTTAAATAAGGGGAATATTGTAAACATGTTTTTGTAGGATGAAAATGTTCCAATTTTTAGGAAAATAGCTCTCTAATTGTGGTAAAATGCTATTTAACCTGGAAATAATACCATGTCTACTGTGGAAGGGAGAAAAGGGACTATCAGAAACCCAGATGTGGTGTCCCAGCGAGTTCTCCATCTGTAATTCTCTCAAAAAAATGAATTGGGATGGCGATTTAGCCCAGCAGGGACATGCTCCCTGTTACAAATGGAAGAGCACTGCAAGTGAGATAGCAGACTGGGAAATGGATTTGTAATACAGTTGATCACAGTAGAGCGATTTTTACCTGAGGAAGAAACCATTAATCTTCTGGTGTTTGTTGGCTTCTGGGAGCTAGGTGTGGTGAGCCCTAAGGTCTCTTGTCCCAGGTGAACGCAAAAAAACTTTAGTTCAGAGTTATTACCCATATTTGAAATTCCTTCTTAAAGTAGGGTTAGCAAATGGATTTTGATCGTTAGTCTTTCTTCAGAAACAATCCATAAGGGAAAGGGTACGAAATGAACTTTTCAGAGAACAAGTTCTAACGTGGAGGAACCTTTGAACTATTTGTGAATGTGGGTGAGCCAGTTATGGCTAAGATGAAAAAGATCTTTTGTTCTCTGTTCTCAGATAATACTGCCATAAAATGCCCTTTCTCAGGATCGTAATTTCAGGAAGGCCAAGTGCTGGTTTGGAAGTGCCTTTGACCTTATGTCTTAAAAGACAAACTTTTACCTATGTACACCAAATGTTAAAAGGAGTCCAGATCTTCAAAGGACAGTAGAGCTCAAACCTACAGAAAAGAGATTCAGAGATAGCTCTGCAACAAGTGATATTTTTCCAAAAGCCCTACAAGATGAAGAATGGTAATCTATACTAGATTAAGTGTTTTTTTATTTGATAGGACAACAATTCATGAATGAAGTGCAAATGTCTTTATAGTGATCTTTGTGTAGCATCTAGAAGTTTTTATGATATTTCT